GCGTATCAGTGTTTTCAGGCGTCCACACAGTACCGTACTCAGATGAATTTGTGGGAGTATTTTTCCATCGGATTAGTGTGGATGAACACTGCATCCACAACGAAAATCTCTCAAATACGTACTAGTGCGGATTGAGTCTTTATCGCCAATGTCAGTGAACAAATATTTACAAATTAGGAATGAGGTGCAAAAAAATCCACCCAGTTTAATTGAAATTAAAATTAAACTATGAATTTTAAATCATGAAACCAGCAAATCACCAGCGCAGGTTCAAAGGCAGTCCCTTGGTTGAGGTAAACAAGATTTAAATGCAACAACAGCTCAAAGTTAGTCATTAACAGACGATGATTATGCTTCAGGTTAAAATTAATTGGTGTCATTTTGAGTGGGAACATTTGGGAGGAGATTAAGAGGAGTGTGTGAAGGGGAATGAAAAGTTTAGAGGAGATAGAGCAACAGCATCCATCAACCTCCAGTTCGGTTTATGGAGGAGGAGGATCACATGCTACTGTACTCACTTTTTTTTTAACACTATAAACACTTTTAATTACAGCATGTTTGTGTTACAAGTACATCATGGTAGAATCAGGCTGGACTTGTATTAGAGACAAAAAAGATGATATCGTTTTTGATATTGCTTGGGGCATGTTGAAAAATACACAATATTGGTTTTGTAGAAGAATCTCCTCCGTTTTCTTATCCAATAAAGATAGAATGAATTTCTAAAAACACATTTAAAAAGGAATCAATATTCATCCTTAATATTCTGCTAACATTCTGCTAACACGTATTTTGTAAGTTTTGCAGGAGTGAGTTCTTCACTTTTCCAAGGAGATGGCTGCTCTGAGTTTTGTTCCCCCACAGATCTGACCTGTAATTTGGCCTGGTGGTCACCTGCTTGTTTAGCCTGATTCATCAGCCAGTTTCACTTTGTAGAAACTGTCTGACCTCGCAGTGTTAGCATTCATTCGCTCGACTGTAGGCAGGTACTTTTTATCATTTAACCAGTCGGTGCTATTTGGTAATCACGTATGTAATGTGCCGCTAACGAGGCTAACTGGTATATTAAGCTTTTCCCAAATCCCATAGGAAGAAGGGCAATAACATCTTTCCCCTTGATGAAATTCAACAAACATTCTCTTTATTCCGGCTTTAAATCCTCGATCCCGGGAATCGTTGGCAACACAGAATGTATGGCTCTTCGCAGATTGGCTGGTGCCCAAACTTGCGCTTCTGTGGTTTTTGCGAACTGTCTATTGTATTCTGATTCCTGTCCTAGTTGCTGGAGAGAAATTAAATTGAGTGGAGGCACTAGGGGGCGCCAGCCTTGCTACTGCTTGTTACCAGAGCGATAAATCTTTTTCCCATACTGTGGAAAATTCCAGGCAAAGCAATAATATCAATAATAATACACATGAAGGAGCTCAATGGCCTCATCTCAGATTTACAATTTACCACTTCGCTCGTGGAGTCTATAAAAATTCACAGCAATTTTCATTTTTACATTTTATTTTTTCCAATACAGACAGACCATGCGTGTCCCTGATTGGCTAATGTACCTGTCAATCACGCCTATTGTAAAGCTTTGTGGCACTTTTGTTGCCTGGAAGCCAGAATACACACTTCTCCCAGTTTTCAAATCCATCAGTTTTGTTTGAGTACAAATTGCTAACATTATTTTTCTGTTCACTTCTGACCATCACTCCCTTGACAATAGCCCAGATTTTTAAAAGTTACAAATGACTGCTTTGTGCTGGCATAGGCTCCACTACAGCAGGTGCAGAGGAGGTCAAGAGGCCCCGAAAGTCCAGGAAGCACAGCACTCCAAACAGTCCAAACAGGCAAGAGCAAACACACTATACTCAAACAACCATTCATCCGGGTCAGCAACATGTCACAAAATGATTTCTCTCTGAAGTTAAAATGTATTATTCAGCATAGAGAAAGACCATCAACTTTCTGTCCCAAACTGTCCCCACGGCGGTAAACAACTCAATCAGCTCAGCTCTTCCACATCGCTCCTGCTTCCCCTGTTTATTGCCCCAGCCCCATGCTTCACACACTTACACACACACACACACACACACACACACACACACACGCACACACACACGCACAGCAGGTTTAAGCACAGTCACGCCAACAATCACTCCAAAAAATGAATAGGCCAAGACTGCGGCAGCCATTTTTGCAACGATACAGGACTCACACTACAGCTACTTAGTTGATTGATACTTTGCAGTCACGTCACGCTAGGGGTGTTCTACATGTAACTCTATTGGTGGAATGTTCAGCAGTAACCATGGTGACACAATGCACACATTAGCAAAAACTACCAAAAATGTTTCAATTACAGTTCTCGACATAAACGTCATTGATAGAGCGGTCAGATCCACTAACTCAGAGGTTGGAGGGGAGATTCCAGTTCCCACAGATAAATGTGTCCTTGGGCAAGACACTTAACTCATCTTGCCTTCAATATCCGTGTACATTGGTGTACAAATGTGTGCATGAATCGAGTGCCTTGGAAGTGGAAAAGCGATGTATAAAAATAATAAGGATCTGCTTGGTTACTTTTTCAGTTAGTCTCTCAAGACCATGCCAGAAGCCTCTAGAGTTAGTCTAGCTTTGACGTAAAAAGCACTATGGTGTATATGGCAGCTTTCTCAAAGATATTTCTATGGTATAGTTTGTCTTCTCTCACAGCTCAGCTCAAGACACAGCCAAGGAAGAGCCACGTGTCATTATCACACCTCCACAATGTATGATGCGTCATTTATTTCATACGAGTTTCTGTGGGCACTTTAGTCAATTGGCAAAGCAATCATCCAGAGATAAAAGCCTGCATTAGTCTGTCAGAACAATGGACACGTTCAAATGAGGCAAAAAGACACAAGCTCAAAGCACAGGGAGAGTTTGTTTCAAGGATCTTTAGCAAATGTACTCTCTGACCAAGGCAGTGATTACAACTTTCCTCACATTTGGTTCTTTCAAAGGGGACACTCTTGTATGGCGACAGTAGGCCAGTGGTGGAAAGTAATGAAGTACAAGTACTGTATTTTTAGGTATCTGTAATGAATTTTACAGTGGACACTTTTTGCTTTTACTTCACTACATTTGAGAGCAAGTAATCTGTACTTTCTACTCCATTTTAAACAGGACTAAAAAGTAAAAGTATTTTTCATATGATTTTAAGGGTTATTTTTCACCATGTTCGAAGTAATGTCCTGATTTAATGTTTTGACTTCAACAAACAAAAACATTCATATAAGAACATTTTAGAAATATATTTATATTGCAACTGTTAACCAAAGTATGTATTTTTTTTTTTTAAATCAATGTCACTACATTTTAACAAATTAAAACTTGTGTGAAATAATTCAACCTTTTACTCATTAAGTTAACTTTTACTTAAGTCGATTTTTTTCATTTGATAATTTTACTTGACTTGACTTTATGCCTCTGTATCTGCGCTTTTAATCAAGTAATAAAATGGAGTACCTCATCCACCAGGCAAATGTCTGACAACGTTATGAACAACAAAGAGCTGAGTCAGAAGAAGTTTGCTGTGTAATATCTGCATGTGTTTTACTGTCCAAGAATCAGTAAATGTGCACTTACTGTTAGAATTATTGTGAAAGCTCTGGCCTCTAAAAGTTGTGAAAAGCCCTTATAAATGAATAATGATAATGCATAAGGTAAGTGAGGAATAACTTTAGATCTCTGCAAACCATCACAAGACATTGACAATCTGGTACAGTGCCTTTAAGTGAGAAAATATTGCAGCTGGTGTGTGAATGCATCAGCAGACAGCAGTGACAGCTCCATCTATAAAAGTGGAAGTGTGTTTTTCCTGACATTTCATTGATGGCCTGAATTGCAATTTATTTTGAAATTCAAGACTCAGTATAAACATCAAGATGTTATGAAACCACAAAGGACATTGAAAGAACTGCTGTATTATTGAATTCAAGGCTTGAAGAACAATGGAGTTTAGTTCTCGGAAGAAGTCAATAATTTACCCAGTAACTGCAGTCTTTGTAATTAGCTATTAATATCAAATATAATTATGAAAATGTTTATGCAATACCTTATGCAAATTGGCCTCTTGAGACCTAACGCCTTGAGATACTTTTGGCTCTTCTTCTCCTTAAACTGCCCTGGTACAAATTTGCTGACCCTCCCTGTCCAGTCCTTCTGTTAAACTACACTGAGACCTTTGACTGAGACACAAAGGACACTGAAAAGCACAGTGGAAATATTGGTGCAGCTAAACTTTAATTTCTCTCGGAATCAATGAAGTATCATTTTCTCTCTCTCTATAGATATATTTTACTATTTAACATATATGTTTTTTTACTTATTTAATCGTGCATATATAAATACATACGTGTGTATATTATTTGACAGTATTTTGTCCTCTTATTGCTACTATATAATGTGTGCTCTACAGTGTCAAGCCATTTCTCTTGCGGATTAATACAGTTGGTCTAAGTAGGTCTTTGATTCAATAATCCCAATCAGAAACTGTAAAACAACATTTGCCTGTGGTTGTGTCCAGGAGAAACTACACCAAAAAATTCACAGTATGACATAAATGAAAATAAGCAAATAGGAAATGGACTGAATATCTTTACGACCCTCATACAGTGTATTTTTGCCTTTAGCTTTTCTGACAGTACTTCCCACTGTTTCTCTACCTGACACGACCCCATCTGACAATCAAAGGTGATTGTTTGGTGTAGTCAATACAACTTGTCTAAAAATCCTCTGTTGAGACTCCAGACCACACAAAAACACAAAATTGATATTGATATTGCGTGCCTACTTTTCCTACAGTTTTAGAAGCAATAGTTTTTTCTTGGAAATTTCACAGTTACCCACAGCTGAGCATAACCACAGGAAACCACTACCTAGTGTGCCGTGCTGGCATGTTGCTTCAGATGTGTAAACGCATGTAAAAGTCCAGCGTCTTTATGAACAAAGATGTGCAGACGTACCTCTCTCCGCCGCGAAGCCCAACAGCTCTGTTTGATTTTCCACACCACCGCGGCCACCAGCAGCAGAGACAGGAAGCAGCTGAGGAAAGAGGAAAATAAGGGTTAGTACAATGACAATAGAAGAAATACTGACACTTTGCAGCTGCTGTCATCAACTTTTCCTGATGGGGTGAGGCCAACTGGAGGCACTGTTCTCTCTGAGGCTGTCTTGAGACTTTAATCTGAGTTTTATTTCAACACAATCTGATCAGAAAGAACCAGCAGTTTTTCAGTTAGTCACTCACACCGAATTAAACACCTTAACAGAACCATGAATGCTCGTATTGATCACAGTCTATTGTTTAAATCCATTTTGTATTTTGTATTTTTTCTCCGTAACAAATACTGAAAATTCCATCAATACAGTTACACATAGAACACCCCCACTCTGCAAATCAATCAATAGAATAGAGTCCATATCAACAGAAGAAATACACTCAAACAAAGATAGACAGCTACATTGGAAGACATATTTCTACCAGCATAAATGGTTAAATCCCAACTCCTGTCTGTGCACACTGTTGTTGTGTCTTTGGGCAAGAAACTTCACACCATATCCACATGTCTACTAGCCTGATTCATCAGCCAGTTTCACTTCATGGAAACAGTCTTACCTCGCAGCATTAAGATTCGTTAGTACTTTTTTATTCAACCAATCGCTCCTGTTTGGTCGTGATGTATATAATGTGCCGCTAACGAAGCCAACTGGTATATTAAGCTTTTCCCAAATCCCGTAGGAAGAAGGGCAATAACGTATTTTCACCAAACATTCTTTTGTTCCAGCTTTAAATCTTCAATCTTGGGAATCGTTGCCAACATAGAATGTATGGCTCTTCACTGATTGGCTGGTGCGCGAACTCGCACTTCCGAGGTTTTTGTGAACCACCTAGTGTATTCTGATTCCTGATCTATTTGCTGGAAAGAAATGAAACTTGAGTGGAGGCATTAGGTGGCGCCAACCTGGCTACATGTCTACATCTCCAGTTGAAAATGCTCTGTTAACTTGTGGTAGTTTTCAAGTTAACAGCTACCTTTTACCTTTGTTTAGCCGAGAATGGAAATTCCACAGGTGAAATCATCCAAATGATTCAAGTGAAGGTGTATGGAGTTTAAAACCATAGTGGAGCACTTCCTGTATTATCTCATGAAGCATAAGGTGGAGCAGTGTTTTCTGTTTGAGAGAAGAACTCAGCCTAAAGATGCAGGGTTTGGGTGTTAATCATGTGTGAATGAAACAAAACACAACTCCAGGTCTCTTTATAATAAGGAAACAACATTACAGCATCGATCTTTAAGGACAAAATACTCAGTTGTTAGCCAATACTGAAAAAAACACCAGCAAAGAACTTGTGCTGAAAGGCTCTCCATTACGGATAATAGATTGTGAATTTTATAATAGCAGATGTATTGCTCACTTCACCAATCATAATGCCAGAATAATAATGAGTATATTTTGAAATACATTTAGAAAAAGTCTAAGTGACAAAACTCCATAGTTCATTAAGCCTGTAACCTGCTTTAACCCCGGCGCATCTATTCCAAACAGTGAATAATTAGAAGTGTAACCTCGCAGGAAACACAATTGTTAAGAGCAAAGTAAGGTGAAAAACATGTGTAGGGGGACAGGTTTTGTCACAGCTTTTGCACTGACTTCTCACCTCGTGCTCCTCACGTCAAATCTATCAGGATACGGCTAACGGCAGAGAACTTCAGGGCTTTGAGGTGTAACTGTGGCATCAGAAGTTTGTTTTCTTTTCTCGGGAATTCTTCGCTACAGTTTAATGTAATTAGATGGAATGATTTATCACAAAATATGAAATTGTGATTGCGCTTGAGTTGTCTTTTTCTGAACTGCAGATTAATTTCAGAGATCCTAAAAAGTTTATGAGCATGTTTAACGACAGACCGTATATCTGTACAAAAGTCAGTGAAATTCTGCTCAAATATATAGAATAAATTATGTACAGTGCCTTCAATACTTCTCTAAATAAATGCATGAGGTTTGAAATTGAGATGTTGGTTTGGTAGTTCATGTCTTCTCTCGAATGCTGGTGCTCCTGGGTGCATTTTAAAATGCACACTGTCTGTCAACTGAATTCAGATTTGAGAGAAAAAAGCACAAATCAATAAACCAAATCCTCGTCAGAAAATTTGCAACAACCCCCAGCGTTTCAGATGAGACTTCTCCCCATCCAACCACATGTTAACATCACACGTAGATGTCTTAATCCATCTTCACACATGTTGGCAATACCGTATCCCAGAATGCTTTGAGTGCCCTCCCAGCTGACATTAACCCTGGCCTCTGGTGTCCCAATTACAGAGAACGAAGGCCATGTAGGTTTAATGCACAAATATGAAACCCCACATTTAAATAAGTGTTCTATTTGAATCTATTCCTGTAGATGTGGTGCCAGAGACCTCATTATGTCACGGCATAGCTGCAAGATTCAGGTTAAATAAATCCACATTTCAGCGCATTTAATATCATGTGTTTTACAAATGTGTTAAAGTGTATTTAGATCTCATTTGATAACTCACCATATCTGTTTTCATCTATCCGTGGGCGTTAAAGCAATGAAAAAATAATATTGTTGCTTAGGGCAGGGAATCACAGGGTCCCTCCCGATATGATATTATCATGGTACATGAGAAAATGGATATGTTGCACATGATACTGACATATTGCAGTTTTTTTTAGAACCACATCAGAGTCCGGCACCGGGTCAGGTACCTGACGAGTATGGGCAAATAGTTGCTAAAACGAGCAGGTTTTAACGTTCTGGAATTTTACGGATGGATATGTGGGCAGGTAGTAATTACACATGGGCAGGTCAGGACTAAACCAGGTCTAAACAAGGACTACACCAGAACTACACCAGGTCTAAACCAGGTCTAAACCAGGTCTAAACCAGGTCTAAACCAGGCATAAACCAGGCATAAACCAGAACTAATCTTGGACTTAAGAGAACCCCGAGTCCATGGAGCAGGGTGTCCGCAAAGTGCGATCGGACAACGGCTGCGCTTACCGGGGGCGTGGAACTCTATACTGGTCCTTTCGCCTGCAGTCACCTAACCTGGGTAGTCCTGGTTTAGTCCTCCTGGTTCAGTCCTGGAATCAGTCCTGGGTTAGTCCTGGGTTAGTCCTGGGTTAGTCCTGGGTTAGTCCTGGGTTAGTCTGTGACATGTGTGGCACAAATGTCCAGCATCTCTGTCAGTGTTTCTTCTGCTCAATAAATAATGCTTGTGAAGTGATGACAGTTGAGTGGCATCTGTGAATTCATATTCAGGCGGGTGCGGTGCTGTACTGCGCAGGTGCAGGCAGGTGCGGGCCTCCAAAAAGGGACCCGTACAGGACCCTGAACCAAAATACATTTAAGCAACAATATTTCTTTGTTAAACCACCACTTGTGCAAAATTAAAACAAAATACATCTCTTCTAGTCATCAAAAGAGTGAACATGTCCAGTGTATTGCAAAAATAAGTTTTCTTCCATGAAAGCAACAAAACTGTAGTGTGGTCCCCAAAAAATTGCTAAAAGAACCAAAAAATACTCTATACTCTACTATACTGATACAGCAGCCCATGATAATGATACTGTGTCACCAAATTTAGTCTCATGATATAAAGATAATTTTGCACACCCCTAGCTGCCATAGCAACTAACAAGTCAAAAAATGATGTACTAAATAGTAAAAAGTACTCAAAATGGCACCTAAGAAGCCAAAAGCCATGAATTATAGAAGCACGCCCCAGCCCAGCACACACAAACACACACACAGACTTTATTATTACTGGCACTTAAATGGGCCTCATCATTGTTTCCCTAAGGGTCTGATTATGCATTGTTTGTCGTAGTGACTTTTGCTGTCAGCTGTGGAAAATAAAAAGACATGAAACTACTTGCAATTCATCCCCTGGTGTTAGGCAATAAATTAAAAAAATGAATAAAGTAGTATGAAATTGTGCTGTCCCAAACAGCCAATTACACTTTTCAAAACACAAGTCAATTACTACTGCCTCGGACCAGCCTCTGAAGTAGGGCGGCTTTATAACACAGAATTACGAGAACAAGCACAGCCGTAAATCACCTTATATAGCAGAGACAATGGCGTTTACATATGGTAATATTAGTTTACAGTGAAACATGATAGGGCTAATATGTTTGGCTATTTGAAATCGAGAGGTCCATAGTCAATCCTCTCTCAGTAATAACATAGCTTGGAACAGTTTGATCAACCAATATAAGGAAAAAGTGATGTATTTTTCTCATATCACCCAACCCTAGGAAGAGATAGGCCACGTATGTTACATCTCAGTTTTTCCTTCCATAATTCAGTAGCATGATTGGGATTCAGTATGCACAAATACATTTGCATATAGCTTTTCTTATGAACAGTAGCAAGCAATGTCTAACCAACAAAATATATTGTTAAAGGTGAAGTTAGAATAAAAGACACTCAGAGTTGTGTTTTGTTCCATTCACACATGTTTACATAACCCTTAGTAGCCTGTATACATCTCCAAAGCTCAAAATGCTCTGTTCCACCTTGTGATGTCATGAAGCAATAGTTTTCAAGTTAACCTCTACTTTAATTCAGTAGAGATGGGTCATTTTAGTTCTGTAATCATCCACATGAGTCTAGTGAAGATGTATGGAGTTTAAAAACACAGTGAAGCTCTTCCTGTATTACCACGTGACATCACATGGTGGAATAGAGTGTTTCTGTTTGAGAGAAGAACTCATCCTAAATATTCAAGGTTTGTGTGTTAAACATGTGTGAATGAAACAAAACACAACTCCAGGTATGTTTTGATGAGGAAACGTTACAACATAGATCAGAAAATAGCATAATATGGTGCCTTTAAGTGTTATGATTCTCACTCAACTTCATAATTTCACTGACAATTACAGTATCACTAAGCCAAAGAGTGTTTCAAATACTGTATATTGCAATAGTAATAATTTGCCTATGATGCAATGTACAAGTCACCAGTTCATCTCTCACACACACAAACAAACAATGTCCAACCAAATCC